TAGCAAAAGGTTATTTATACAAAGTAAGCACTAAGTCATATCAACAACTGTTTTCTGGGGTTGGAGCTTTTGGGGAGCTTAAAACCCATTCTCCCTTCAGTGGCTGCTATGCTGCTTGCTTTCAGAGCCACCATATATATGAGGCTATTAGTTTTTAAGGCTACCACAGAGCTGGAAAGAGTAGGAGGCACTAGGGCAAATTAAAACACCACAATACTCATTGTTCTCACCAATATTCAGCCATTTTTTCTTGAATAAACACTGCTTAGATTATTGAAAAGCTTTCATTAATTTTCAGAGTTCTGAAAAAATTGCTTTTGACAATTTCTTCCAGTGCTCTTATTGGTTTTATGGAGGAGTCAATTTTTTGCTGTTCTCTCTCTACCATTCCAGAAATTCTTTTGAAGATGTTTGTGTTTTAAGCTAAATAAATTTATATTTTCAAAGTTTGCCATCATGGCATGGTTGGTTCAAAATATGACTACAGCAAGGGATATTGTTCCTTTTGGGGTCCAAAATGGTTGTTAGTCAAACCCAGAAGTGAGTTACCTCAGAAATTCTCTTGTAGAAAATGATTTAAAAATTATAATCTATAGATTTTACCAGGGTTTGACTAAAAAAAGAAAAAAAAAAAATTATAATCTGAACTTTATTAGCATACCAATGCTGATCCTCAAAATAATTTAATTTTAGCCAATATTTATGGATTTCATTCTACATGCCAGGACCTATATTAGTTTCAATGGAAAATCCAAAGATACAATACAGGGATATTCTCTGAGAAAATTTAAGGAACTTACTCAGCCCAGAAACTAAATTATAAGACAAAGATATATACCTCCCATTTGTCCATAGGCAACACTAACCCTGAGATAAAACAGGATCATAGTAATGTTAAAAGAATTATAGTCCTTGCCTGTTACCTCATCTGTGATTTGAAGAAACTACACCTCTCATCTTTATACCCTTTTCTATTTCCCCAAGTGGTCCTGAGTTCTTTAGGAACTGTCCCAATCTTTGGAGGCTGTTTAATCCAGAAGCTCTCAGATCTACAGTGGTTAAAGAATAATGTCCAAGCTAATCCTCCTTAGAGGAGGTTTAATGGAGGTTTAATGGGCCAGACAGCAAGAGCCTAGACTTTGCAAAATAAAAGATCCATTTTCTTCTCTTCTCTAAGCAGAAAGAGGTTCTTCCTCCCCAAAGCAGTTTAAACTGACTTCTCACCCTACTTAGTGTGGGCTTTGAACTCAAGCAGAGAAAGCTCTCATCCTCATTCTCTATTAGCCTCAAGACTTAGGACAATATTTATCACTTTATGTCTGACATATAAAATGGGAATAATAATGCCTACCTACCACTTAGGGCTATAGGAATTAAATTAGATAAAATATTTGCATTTTCTGGCACACAGAAAACATTCCATTAATGTTTATTCTTCTTTTCAAAGCATGAATCCTTTTTTGGGAACATCTCCAGGAGGGGATGAGCCTCATCCTGACAGTTCTGTGGGGGTGTGAAGACAGCTCCTATTGCAACTGAACAATCATCTCCCTGGAGAGGTCTCCAGTGACCACTCATCTCAAGGAAACTCCCAGTCACTTTGGCTCCCATTCCTAGGGTGGCCAATCATCCCAGTTTGCCTGGGACTGCAGAGTTCCCTGGGAGGCAAGATTTTCTGTGCTCAAAGCAGGACTGTTCCCTGAGCAAACCAGGAGAAGTAGGTCACCCTCACATCATCCTGTTTTGGCTTTGGTTTGGGTTCCAATTTTCACAGCTTTTTACCACTATTTGATATTATTCAGTTTATTTTGTTTTTGTTTGTTTTCTCATTTCCTTCAAACTAAAATGTAAGCCTCTTGAGGGTAAGGACAGGATTTTGTCCGTGTGGTTCACAACTGTGTTCACATGTCTGCAACATCATGTGCCATAGTAGGCACTAAATAGCTATTTGTTGAAAATTGAATGAATTACTAATGGATTTATTTTCTAAAATGCCCACCTTTCTATCCTCTAAGTTTAACAACATAAACACATAAGCAATGCAAAGTTTTGTATGACACCACAATTAATTTTTAAAAAGCATTTTGTATGGTTATAATGACTGAGTTATAAGCATTTAAATCTCTGCAGTAGTGAGAACTTCAGACAGCTGTGTCCTTTTACTTCTGATCCCAAACAATGTAATTAAAAAGGATTCACTGAAATGTAGACGTTTCTACCATTTACCCTGGAATGTTGGCTCTCCCCAGTATAACCCAGTCTGTAAACACAAGATTAGTGTCTGTGATGAGAAAGCTCTCCCTCTATAAAACAGCATTCGAAAGGAAATCGCCACCTTTTCTTCCCCTTCTGGAAGCAGCAGCAGGACTAGTAAGACCCATAATTACTTCGAATATTCCACAAGGATATAAGAGCTACAAATGTTAAGACACAATCTGAGACCACATCTCTGGACTCTAAAATGAGCCAGATAATGATGTCCCTTCCTCCACTATCAGTTTACTATATAAAATGAGAAGACATAAAGTAGTTTTAGATTTAATTAAAGCAATTGACTGAATTGCATTTTGTAGTCCTGGTCGTCATTAACACTCTTGACCTCTCTGTCACATAGACATGCCAGAGAATTTTTCCAATGGATATTTATTATGAATATTATCATCAATAAGCACCATCAACATATTAAAATTAATTTTAACTTCTTTATGGAAGACTGAAAGCACAACCAGCTGTTGAAAACCAGCCGTTCTAAATCATTTTTTATCGATTCAACATGGCTAAACCTCAAGTACAACTAATAGGGAATTTTATGTGTGTGTAGGCAAGTTTCTTTATATATAAAATATTTAATGTTATTTCATATCTAACTCTGGTTACATTAATCATGTAACCATATTTTTGGAGCCCAAGGATTCACTTGCTATTTTAAGCACTTGCTGCGCAGTCCTCAGGCTGGCTGGCTCGATTCACGTCCACGTGGGTACGCAGCGACTCATGGACATTTGGTCTTATTTTGACTGCTTGCAAAGAGCTTAATAAAAGACAGGCTTTGGTGCATCAAAAGAACTTAGTCCGCAGGTGTTCCGAGCTGGGCTAACTCGTATGTAGAACAAACAATTAAGCTCTGGAATTTGAGACTCTAAATTGTATCAGTTGAGCACCTGTTCTGAAGGGAGGAAAACACCTTTCATTACATTACTCCAGGGCATGACAGGCTCTGGGTTGTGTAGAGTTACAGCAGATCCTATTCAGGCACGCTAGCTGAGATGCTGCCGCTAACGCTGCCAAGGACTTCAACTTGAAGTTTGCAGAGAATACCTCCATGTCTATCTCCACCTCGATTTGCATCTCTGGGTCTCTCCATAGCTCTTGTTCCATGGACCACTTTGCTGAGCATCTATTACAAGGCAGGCACTGTGCTAAAGATTTTAAATACAGCACCGCATCGGATCCCTCCCCCAAACCCTGCGAGGCTTAGAAAGACTAAGTAATGTGCCCAAGGTCATGTAAGTATGAGTAATGGGGTCAGGCTTCAAAGTCAGGTGGATGGGAGAGCCCCTCATCTTGATCACGAAGCCATCTCGTGGGCAGCCTCCAGGCTTGCACACGCTCTGGGCTGTCTTCTGTCCTCCTTTCTGGTTCCGCGTTCAGGCTTTGGTTCTTCAGTCTTCCTCTGGCTTTATGCTCGGTCCTCATCTTCCCTTTCTCACTCAAGGAGCTCTCTAATTGACCCACGCACTCCCACCACAGCCCCAGTCACCAACCATGGGCCTCCAGCTTTAACCCTTTGCACTCACTTGCTTTTTTCTCGATTCCTTTATTCTACTCAGTATTTAATTTTTTAAATATCCCCAATTTTACAAAGCACGGCAGTAGAATAAAAAACTGGAGTTCCTTTCCATACAAACTTATTTATTTGGATTTTTTTTTATATTTCAAATTATTGATACATTCAAAGAGTAATTTTAATCTCTATAATTGTTGCTAGCCGTGTTGAGTCACACTCGACATCCAAGTGCAAAGGGTTAAAACCTCTCTCTCCAGGCAGATACCTGGAAATGCAACCTGCTGCTCCCATCTGCACTGGAAGGGCTCTCACGGGCTGCCTCCAAGTTGCTCTTGTAGAACCGACCTAAGTGAGTGTCTTCCATGCAAGCCCGCTCCTCCTCCAGGGTGGCTAGCCTGGACACAGCACAGCAGCTGTCACCTGGGCTCCTCCCTCCTCCTCTCCCTCTTCTTCACTGTCAGCCTGTTCACACCACCTCTCATCCACTCCCCCTCCTAAGCACTCAAGTCTGTCCTCTTTGTCCATCTCTACCAAGAGGGCAGTCCAGCAATATCGGTGTGAAATTGTCACAACTGGAGGGAGGGGGGCCACTGGCATCTAGCTGGGAAAGACCACAGAGGCTGCTTCTCATCCTACAGTGCATAGGACAGACCCCACACTAGAGAATTAGTCAGCCACAAATATCCTGAGTGCTGAGATTGAGAAGCCCTGGTCCAATCCAAGCTAGTGTCATCTCTTACCCGAGCTATTGCCACAGCCCCTAACCCATCTCTCCATAGCTACTTCACTCTCTTCAACACATTCTCGGCTCCACACTGCCAGAATGATCTTTTTTTTTCCCTCATATTATGGAGGTACAAATATTGTTAGGGTTACAAATATTGCCCCTGCCCCCCTCCCTCCCCCCATGTGTCCAATCCCCTGGTGGTGTGCATCACACACATTATGGAAACATACACCCCTTTCCTCCTCCCCACTACCGCCTGCCCACCACCCGATAAAAAGTTTTGTTTTGATTTTTTTTTGACATTTTGGTTACATTGTATATCTTTGCCTCTCCCTAAGAAGGGTTAGAGTTATGCCCTTCCCTTCCAAAATATTCGCCACCTCCCTAAGATTGGGTCTCCCCCACCCCAATCCTTGGTGAGCATTGCCACCATTTGAAAACCATAGTTTTAATCAGTCAGTACCAATTTGATGGCGAGTTGATGTAGGGCCCATTTTCCATGTCTTGTGTCGCAGAATGATCTTTTAAAAACACAAATGTAGTGCCTTTCCTTCAAAGCCACCAATGGCTTCTCAAGTCTTTTACAGATAAAATACTTGTTGACTTGGCCGAAAAACCCGGCATGCTTCTTGAGCAAGCTTCAAGCCACTCTTCCTTTATCTTGGCTTCCTTCTCTTGCCTATTAGGTGACATGGTGCTTTTCCTTTTGAGAGTTCCTTAGCCTACACACTTCCAATATTCCCCCTCACATCTTTGCTCAAATGTCATCGCAACAAATGACCTTCTCAATTCTCTCTCTCCTATACTCTGCTTTAATTGTCTCATAGCACCTAATATGCCACTTGGTGTATTACATATTCGTTCACTTCCTTGTTTGATTTCTGTCTTCTCCCATCATAATTAAGCTCCACTACAATAAAGACTTCTGTCTTTTGTTTACTATTGTATAACGACTGGAACTGTGCCTGGTACATAGTAGGCACTCAATAAACATTTAGTAAATAAATAGAAATCCTTTTTTTCTTACTTCATATATATTTATTATATAACATATAAGAGGACCCCTGACATTTCATTTTGCTGAACTATCCTAGCAGAGACAATCACATGGAGCCAAGTGAAAACTAACCTAAAGCAACTAAAGTGCTGAGTCTGCCCAGCCACTGACTTACAGCCAATATCCAGGTCATGCAGACCTGGCAGACAAGCCAGCCACAAGCAGGGACCAAGTGCCTCTTCACACAAGACACCGCATTCAAATCTCACCAGAAATCAGGATGCATTGGACTAATTCCTTGTTTGCTCTTGAAATTGACTACTACAATCTGGATGAACCAGAAAGTCCAGGAAGCATGGCAGGCACAGCAATAGGCTCCCTGTCTCTGAGAGGAAGACCATTTCTTGCCAGACAAAGGATATATCCAGCATACCTCTCTCTGTCTTTGCAAGAGAGAGATAGCCTTTTTGGATGCCAAAATACCAAGAAATTTTGATTGCCCAGAACATTGGGCATGTACAGTTACCAAACAAAAAAGAGAGATTTTGTAGTAGTATTATTATAGTAACAGATGTGATAATTATAATAGCAACTGACGTGAAATATGTCAGACACTGCATATAGTCTAATCTAATCTTCATGACACCTCTAACAGGTGGTTAGTTTATTAATATTATCCCTAGTTTACAGATGAGAAAACTGAGTTTTAGCGAGGTTGGGTAACTTGCCCAAAGTCATGAAGCTGGTCAGCCAAAATGTGACTGAAATAACTATTTGTCTTAGTACAAAGCTCTTGTTCCTTCAACATGAAAATTAGAATCATCATTATATGGGACATATTCTATGTTTCCCTTCAAGAGACATATAAGCTAATTTTATCACTGTTTAGGTGATGGCATTATGACATTATAAATGTAAATAGTGAAAAGAACAATATGAAATAGTAAATAGTCCAGCTAAAAAGTTAGGAGAAAAGAAATGTCAATCTGAGAAAGCAATGTCAATCAGAGTGGGCTTCAAGAAGGAGGCAACATCTGAGTTGGATAAGCTTGGAAAGTTAGAGAGGATAATGACAATTTTTCCCAAAGGGAGAAACCACATAAAGAAAACTATAGGGAGAGAAGTTCAAAAGGTACATTTGGGGTCAAATAATCTGGTAAAATTGAGAGACTTAGCTAAGGCAGTGTTTCCCAAACTGTTCAACAATGTGACCATAGTTGTTGTGTGCAGAAAAGTGTTTGCCATGGCTCATGCTTGGGAAGTGTTAGGGAAAGCACATTTTTGCAGGACTTCTCAGAGCCACTATGTGGGTTAACTACATTATGAGTCCAAGAAGAGTAGTGATATTATACTTTGTGTGTGTTTTACTCATTTATTTGACTAGTGGATCCCCCAACCCTTCGTTTTGCAGAGCACTTGTTAACATCGCATTAACTTAGCATTCTGTGGAACCAGTTTGAGAAATGATGTGGTGCAAGATTCATGGGCAGTAGCACAGAGGACAGGAACCACTCTGTGGAGGGCCTGGGTCGTGCTGCTCACCAGCTCTGCAGTTCTAGCCCTGGAGACCTGTGGGGGCTCTAGACAGGGAAATACCATGACCAATTGTTCGAAAAGATTTTTCTGGCAGGAAAGGCAAGTGTCACACCCAGACCAATAATGAGAGCTACTGTGTGATCCAGCTGCAAGGTACCACAGTTCCGAGTGCAACTGAAAAAAAGTGTCTCTTCATTCCTTTCCAATTCTCCAGTTCATCGTCACAACAGCTCTGATCAATCCTAGTCAATCCTTTGAGGTTGTTAGAAAACCCCATCTATGTGAGCAGCAGCAGAAACCGAGCATCCAGAAAACTCTATAACGATGCTGGGAGAAAAAAAAACAAAAAAGGTAGAAGTTAACATGATTGAACATATCATTTCCCTACTTAAAGGTCTTCAATGGGTTCTCCTTTTTTAATATTGAAAATAAAATGTTTCCCCTGGCCTACAAGGCCCTGCATGAACTGGCCAATGTCCAGCCCTGTCCCCCCACACCTCATACCTGCTCCCTTTGCTCTCATGCCCAGGGCCTACAGCAGGGGCTGCCCCCTGGGGCACTTCATGTGACTGTAAGCTCCTTAGGGACAGGGGCCAGTCTGCTTTTGCCTGTCCCAGTAACTAGCACATAGTAGGAGCTCAACAAATATTTCTGAGTGAATGGATGGACGGACGGCTTACCCACAGAACAGCTGTGATGTGTTTTAGAACGCTTTCTAGTGGATTCCATCCACATCCGGTCCAGTCTCCCAATATCAAGATTAACACGTTATAAAATAAAATCTTGCAACTGTATATGGAGCCCTGTTTGACTTTATATTGCATGTGACCTCTCGTGTTCCTGTGAATCAGAGCTTTCAGCTGGCCGCCATCCTTTCTGTCACTTCTCAGAAACCCAAAGCCACAGCCCTGCTTGCCTCACCCTTTTTTCCTACTCACAGGTCACCCCAAGGGAGGCATCATCTACTGTCTTCCTCACGTACCTTCAGCATCTCGATTTAACCTCCCGACTACTAACACCTGTCGAATTATGAAACAGAATTAGTCCATGGCCACTCCGAATTCTTAACTTAGCCAAAAGTGCAGGTTGGATTCCAGTAGGAATGTCATATCAAATCCCTACTTCCACTCAGTTCTGGGTGAACTGAGACCTTCCTAATGAGCGGCCTGCGTAGGTAACACTTCACCACTGGCTTTCTACTTTTCAAAGGAGCATTCAGGATACTCAGAGCCTTCTCTGTCTAGCCCCAACCTTTCTCTTCTCACTTCCCACAGTATCTCTTAATAAATATATAGTTCAGCCACTCTAAGTTCTAATGATCCAAACATTATTTTACTTTTACTTCTGTGTGCCATTTCCCAAACTCTCTTTTATCACCCTGCTGGGTTGCAACGTGCTCTTCTGGTCTTTTCAGTCCAGCCACCTCGGCATTTCAGGTTGAGCAGGGCTTTTCAGACACTATCTTACATTTTAAGTTAGGAGTGGAGGGTATTTTACACCTTTAGGCCAGTTTTGCTACTGTCACTCTTTCTAAAGTGTATTTGCCGGGGAGACCAATGCATCCTTTGAGTCTCTCTCAGAGAGAAAATTCTCCTTTATTACCCTAGATAAGCCCAAGGACAGATGATTTTAAAGAAGGATATGACCACTCTGCAGGGCCTGGAAACGCTTCACGGCTTTGCTTGCAGAGGGCAATCTCCCCTGATAATTCAGCCCCGGGCACACCCAGCAAGCAGTCTCCACACAGCACCTCTAACAGCTAGAAAGATTTCTCTGCCACTAACTTTAGGTTAGCGCTAAGGCCAGAAGTGGGAAGAGGTTGTCACCAAACACCTTCAGCCATCTGAGCAGTTTCCGAGCTTGGCTCATGGTGCTTTGTCTTGGGGACTGTCTAAAATGAATGACCTTATTTGGCCGCCCTCTGCTTTCCCTCTGTCTCTTGGAAACACCCGGAATGTTCTCTGAGACGCCTGGAGGTAAATTAAAAGTTCTATTCATTTATGTACGCCGCCAGCACTCGGTCAACATCAGCTCATACCTTTGGACATTGCCCAGATAAGTTATATTTGATCTAGTGACCTAAAGGTGAATTGTAGGTTATACTTAATTACACTCATGAACCAAGTGCAAGTCAGTAACAAACCTTCCTATTTCACTCCGAAATACCGTGAAACCCCTTAAGGGAGTCCACTGATTATACTATAGAGGTTTGTATGAACCAACTAGGGTAAATAATTAGACGTATTTTTAATTAATATTGCAGTGCCTTCTAGCACAACGATACTTAAGATTATGATGGTATTGGAGGTAAGTAGAGAAACAGTCTGACTCTTGATGAAGCCAGGAAGAACAAAGAGAGTTTTGTCAGATTCACAAAAATACCCTGCAATTTTGGCAATCTTATGTCAAAAGTTTCTAGTGTGTTTAAAGGAAGTTTTCACTTTAGCAAATGCTCTGTTTGCCAAGGTGAATATTAGCCTTTATTACCAAAAATAAATCCAGAGAAAATGAAAGGCAAGTAGTGTGCATTTCTAGTTGGCATAACTGCAAAACTTTTTTAAATCATGTGACCTTTATGGGAATAATAACAATTAACACAGATTTCATAATGGGCAACATTTCAATTTTTGTTTCATTAAGCTTCATAAAAATATAGGCTTATGAAAAAAGCCAGCTCAATTAAAGTATGAACTTTTCATTATTTTTAACACATTTTACCTATTTTTAATTGATGGAAGTGCTACATATTTTGCCAACTCAAGAATTTTTCACACTTCTTTAATTCAAACCAGCTTTATTTTTGCAATGCAAATAAACAGATTATTATTTGGTATTAACTGGAAACCAAATAAAGTGTTAATAATAGTAAAGTGTATTAAATAGATCACAATGCATACATTATTTCCTAAAGAAATTTATTTTATACGTTCAAAATGCAGTAAATAATTTTTTATTTAACTCTAGCTAAACTTCACAACTCCTTAATGAGAAAGATACTATTAATAATAGTCTACAAATGATATTTTACAAATGAGAAAACCTAAGCTTTCAAAAGTTATGTAATTTGCCCCAGGTCACATTGCAAATGAAAGGTCAAAATCGTGACATTGGTCATCTGACCACTTGTATTATCTTCTGTAGGCTTAAGATAATAAGCAAATTGAGCAAGTTTTGTGTCTTTTTTATTTTTCCTTTTTTTTTTTTGCTTGTTTGTTTATTTGTTTGCTTTTCCCTATGTATTGCTGCTGTGCTAGGTACATATTAGCCTCTCAATGAATATAGTTAATGAATAATTTGTATTCAGCTTTCTATTAAACACAACTCTCTATAGCCTGCCTTTTTGGACATTTATGGCCAAACAACACTTGATATTAATTACGATCACCCCCAAGACCCTGCAAGAGAAAGAGTCACCTGAAACAAAACAGAAAGATGAAATGATGTTGGTATGTGCTCTGAGCTGCAGATTACTGTCACCAGTTGTTGGCTGTGAGTTGACCAGCTGTCTCTGCATGGCTTACAGACAGGCCAATTATAACATGTTCCGAATTAAGTTAAATTTCTCATCTTCTACCCAACATGATTCTTCATTGTCCCAGCTTCCCAACTTGAAATTTGGGAGTCACTTTCAAATCTTTTGTTTTTTTTCCCTTCATTTGCCCTCTATGTGTTTACAAAGTGTCCATTCTACCTCTCGATTCTATCCTCTGCTTTCTATTTTCACTGCCTAATTCTGGCCTTCTTTCGCCCAGAAGATTTTAGCACCCTGGGTATAGGTTGCCTTGAGTCCAGTTTGTCACCATTGGCATTCTTCCTCCAAGGTGCCCAAAGTTACCTTTATGAAACAGAATCCACTCACTTTCTGAAGACTGCTGTCAGCCACCTCTACCCTAAAGTGGCATTTCCCATCATGAGATCCATGGACCCTGTATGCACTGTGAAAAGGGAAAGACAAACTGGTTTATGGCAAACTCTTAGAAATTTATGATGCAGAATAGCATATTAAAGGCTCTGAGAATTCCTGCAGAAAAGAATTCCAGGTAATTGATCTATGCCAGTGTTTACACTTTATTTAGCCTCAAAAACTCGCAGTTTTTCTCGACAGTACCAATTGACATCTTAAGGAACCAATATTCTTCTAAGCACAGTTTGAAAAAACGCCATCCTACTAGATAAATTAACTGTTGTGCCAGCTGTTCTCCATGGCCCACCACCTTCCTGAATCAATCACACTATGTTTGCTGCTATTTCCAAGGCAATAACACACTCTCGTTTTCTCTTCGTTGAGTTAAGCATGAAGTTCTCTCAAAATAGGATGCATGCATTTTCCCCAACTTTCCAATTGGAAAATCTCTCATTAACAACTTCAGGACCTAGCCCCAATGTCGCTGCCTGTTTAAAGTCTTCCTCAAGTCACTCTTTTGTGCTTGCCCTGCTGTGGGTCACCTTTCTAATTTTGCAGCCATTTGTTCCCAAGTCCACCTTCCCTACAAGATTACTAGGCCCTTTTATCATTGTACATAGCACAATGCCCAGCATTTAGCAGACACTCAACAAATACTGATAGAAAATATATTTCATCATATTCTAATTCAATACCCTGTAAAGAGTAGGTGCAAATGCATATTTATATATAATATCTCCAGAGACACAGAAGTGACGTTAAAGAACATGCAACCCATTCTCCCGCTGCAGCTGAGAAAAAAGAATTGTCCAGAGAGATGCGCATGTGGCCCTGCTCTATCTTGGAAGTCACCTGGCTAAAGCATCTAGTTGTTTTGTTATTACTCCCCCCATCCCAGCTGCATGTGTACCTGGCTGCATCTGTACTTCTCCAGAAGAGGATAGTCTTCTCCAAAAGAAGAAGAGAGAGGTTTTTCAGCCACAGATACAGTTAATCAGTGAAAGGCATTAGTATGTTCAGGCTTGGTCCTGGACACCCACTGAATGACTGTCCTTGCCCAGAGGTTTGCAGTACCCTGTGGCTCCAAGAGTTAAAGGCACTTCCTTACTACTCACTGGTAAAACAAGGTCCGCTGAGAAACGGTCATTAGCTGTACATAGCTCTGAAGATGATTATTTTCAAAGAGTTGCATCAAATATTTTTTTAATGATGAGGCAGATCTGTAAATGACTCTGCCACTTTCTAGCTAGCCAGCTATTTCACCTCCTCACACCTCCTTTTCCTCATGTGTAAGATAAGGATAAATGAGGCAGCATTTAACACCTTGCTTGGCACATAGCAGGCAATCAATAAAAGCATATTGCATTTGATTCTGATTTCTACTGAATTTTACAGTTTACAAAAATAAAAAGAGGAACCACTTACATGAATTTAATAACCAACTCAAAAATCTTTTGCTAAGTATATTTTGGACAGATCTATTTGTCTTTGCCATTCTCTGTATTAAATTAAAATTAAAATACACTCTTAAAAAGCACTCGGTAATTCAGCAGAACAGCATTCAGAATTATGCATCTGAGCTGCATATTTTAATGCTGACTAACTCAATTTGTTGCCCAAAGTCTAGCAGTTTGAGACCTCAATGTCATTAAGGTAAGATCTGGGTAAGATGTGTGCATCAATGGCATGGTTCTGTCATAGGAGAGAAAGAGGTCCTGGTTGGAACTGAGCAGAAGGCAAATGCTTCTTTTGTAAGGTTGGGACCTTTCATATTATTCCCCTATTGTTTTGTAAGGGAGTGAAATGCATGAGGCAATTTAAACAGGCCAGGCAGGGAACGATCCACAGCTCCCACTGGGGACTGGACCAAGTCATGCACAATGAAGGCTTGGGCCACGGTGGGGTAAAGGCATCAGCTCTTAGGAACGTGGGTCCCCCTAGCATTGGAGTTAATGAGGCCATTGGTTCAGTTCACTTATTTTCCCTTGCAGAGATAATCATGATCAATTTGCATGATGATTATGGAAAAAATTAAAACACTATTCCCAAAGATCAAGTTAATAAAGGCCTTTGAGACTTAGAGCTTCCTGGAGGAGAAAGGTATATTTTTCTCCAAGAAGAGGGAAAGCATTTGAGATAAACTATAGTTTAGTTCAATGAAGCAATGGTGACTTTCTCCCTACCCCCCCAACCTTTTTTACTCATGGCAACTTATACCTCAATTAAACCCTTGAGAATCTCTCACCCCTAAGAGCATGTAACGAATTTAATACAAATTCAAGGGGAAATAAAAGGAGCAAGAGGGGGACAAAAAAGTCAGAATGAAGAGAACAGAATATGAATTTGTGAAATACTCTTGTGGTTGGAAAGCCATGTGCTCCTCCTTCTGCCGACTGATAGATTCTACATTTTCTAGATTCAAACTAAAAATCATTTCTCCTTTGATACTCCGCTCCAGCCTAAGAGATAGAAGACTTTAGCAACTCACCCCTCTCCTTGGGAAAGACAAAGCTAATCCTGAGAATCTTACTGAAGGCAGCTGCTTCCTATCCAGAGCAATTCCTGCTTTTTATTCAAACTTTGTCCCCTTCCCCTTTCTTTGACATAAAATCAGATCCTGCTCTTTTTTTCCTTCTAGAGATATCTGTACTCTCTGTTCCCTAGAGAAGGCTCTTAACCACTTTGGCAGTTGGTTTGGAAGGTTAAACCTTACGAAAGCAGTTTACATCCCATCTCCCATCTGATGGTTTCCGTTTTGTAGGTATAAGTGGTCAAAAGCCCAGTATATCAGGGTGAAAAAATGGCAAGCAAAAAGCAAACAAGATCTGCATTCTAAGTGTTTCTCTTAATGACACTGGTGTAAAATGGGACAAAACTACAATCCAACCAAACAGGAGACTGTGCAGCTCTTCCACTTATTAAGGATTTGGGTCTTAGCATCTAAACCATCTTTTAAATATTTAAGCAGAAGGAGAAATAGTTAAAACAAGCAATATTCTATATCAGAACTGACTTTCCCTATGAGCTTTTCTCGGTTTCTCTATTTCATCTCCCCTACCTAATCCTGGGAATCCTATATGCTTACAGACAAAAATATCCTTCCTTAATCATTTGTGCTACTCAGCTTCTCCATACTTTTCTCATAACTGTAGTCCATGGGCCCTCTTGTCACCAAACAACAACAACAACAAAATACCCAAAAAAACAAACCCAAAAAACCCTTAATGGTTTATATCCAGCAAACCAGAAGGAATGAAATACTGTATTATTTTCCATGATCAACTCAAGGGAAGAAACGTTTTAAGAGGACAAAAGAATACCATTGTGGTGACTTTTTACATTTTATCCATAATTTATCTATTGTGTCTTTCCTAAGACTAAATAATCTCTTTGAAAATATAGGTCATCATTTTATGCGCAGCAGTGACTATAATAAATTGAGTTTGAGAACATTTACTGAATGGGTACTTTGGGCTAAGCACTGTGTTAGGTGCTAGTGGGGCCACTACAAAACGTTTCATAGGTAGTGCACAGTTGAAGGGGCAGCTGAAAACCGTCATGTTCTACTCTCTCCAAAACCCAACCCCCTGGTGCTGAACACATTGGCCTAGAGGAAGGGTGGCCTTTTAGTTATTGATCTGCCCCAAGAGGCACAGTTCCTGCTAACCTTATTTGACAAAGGAAACCCAGGGTATAGAGATACAGGAGATTATAACCTAATGGAAGATAATTTCCACAAAGGGTGACATCAATTACCTGAGAATCAGTCCTTTTGGGATGAAAAGCAAACAGTTGGGTGGTGGTCACTTCTGTCTTGGTAGTTTCTATATCTAGTCAACATTTTGGTGGCTACTTTCTAAACAGTGTTTTTCTTTACTATCTCTACTTCTACCTTCTTGACATAAACTAGAATCATAATAATACTTACCTCCCATGGCTGTTGTAGGAAGTAAATGAGCACTGGAAGAGCCACTCGAAGTGCCATGTGTGTGACACACTCAGCACAGATGGGCTCCCGTCCCCTCCCCTCCCACACTGACTATGGCCCAAGCACCAGGAAGCTGTCCTGTTCAATCCTCTCAACTCTACGATGCAGGTCCTGAGCCCCTTTTTCTAGTTAAGGAAAACGAGGTTCAGAGAAATGAACAAAACCTGCCCCAGGCTACCCCGCAGCTAATAAATCTCCAAGACCGGGTGTCCTCCCTGACACTAAGGTAGAAAAACCCAGGGGAAGGAAAGTGGGAACTAGAGCAGAAACCCAGTGTATTCTGCACTCATCTCTCAGCAACACGTGGCCCATAGTGCTGATATTTGTTGAACTGAACCCAAGAAGGAAGATTAGAGAATGAACATTTCCTGAGCAGGCGCCTAGGGTAAAATATGTAACAAGGTTCTCTCTGTCTCTCTCTCTCTCTCTCTCTGGTGGCCTGGTCCCCATGCTGCTCTTGTGCAAGCCACCCTGCTCTCCCCCCACCAGTTTTCCACCACCCCTCCAGGGCTTGGGGACTTTTCTTTCCAAGTCTCATGAATAGGCTGGAGTTCAAAGTGCTCACCAAAGTCACCACTCTCACCTGCGCATGGGCCTCTCTTCAGGTTCACTGCCGTACCTGCACAAAGAGACTGAGAACCCCCTCCAGGAAAGCTTCCCATCCATCTTCCTGGTGGTCTTTCATTTTTTTGCCAATAAGACGATCTGCTTCACAACACACTTCGATATATTTGACATCTGTCATAAAACCCAGGTCAGGCATATCTGTCTTCTGTTAAAATGAGCCATTCAAGAAAGACACTTCCTCTGCTGTTAGGCCCCCACTAGAAATAATTATTGACATATTGTCCGCACATCCAGGCTCTTAATAGGAGTCATAAATTTCTGGTCCTGGTTTCCCTCACTCCTATCGGAGAAGTAAGGTAACACTTAGAGAGCCAGAAGGAAACCTGCAGGAAAAGCTCTAGCTGAAGTGACTGGCTTCAAACAAATACCTTCCTTTAACATCTTTCAAAAGTTAATGACTGTGGCAACACACAGCT